CTCGGTCTTCAATTCGCTGGATGGCCTGCTTTGCGATGAACTCCGTGCAGTGACCTTCTCTCACGAGTTCTTCAAGGTGTGCTTTCCAAGCGAAGTAGTTGTTGGTAGTGTGCCCGTGTATCCCATGGAAGGCACCGTATTTGCTAGTATCCCTCTTGTCTGGATCTCCTTTTCACTTGGGCTAAGATTTGATGTATGGGGATGGTGAACTTGGTGTAGTTTTCTCCTACCGTAGCGTCTCCTTGTGGGTGTGACCTGCGCTTGTCCTTACTCTTGTTGCTAAATTCATCGCTTCTTTGGCCTGCCCGTCTAGTCGACTGGTCTTCCTGCTTTGTAGACTTCTTTGTGGTGATTCGATCGTCATCCCAGAGCGCGTAGTGTTCCGCGGTCGCGTAGACCTCTGCCAAAGTCAGGATGGGAGTGATAGTCAGCTCGCGGTACAAGTCGTGTTTACCTGGAAGACCTTTCTTGAAGGCAGATGACGCAATCCGGTCGTTACATCCTACAATGTTGGCATTTTCTGCTTTGAATCTCTTGATGTAATCTCGAAGGGATTCGTCGGACTTCTTGCGCAGGTTGTACAGGTGGTTAGGGTTCTTCTTGATCGCCCGGTAAGAGGTGTACTCTTTGGTGAAGACGTAAGCCAACTCCATGAAGCTGCTGATCGAATCGGATGATAGGGTGTGGAACCAATCTTGGGGTGCCCCTCGCAAGGTCATTACGAATACCTTGCACATCAGCGTCGTCGGCCTTGTGGAGGATCATGACACTTTTGAAGTGTTTTAGATGGCTCTCGGGATCGGAATCCCCTTTGAAGTGGGTAAACGAAGGCGTTGAGAACCGCTTCAGGGGAGCAACCTGCTCAATTTCGGCCGTGAAAGGTGTGGAGTTTGCCTGGTCGATCTCCTTACGTAGTACATCTTTGAAATTCCCGCCGTTCTTCAAGTCTCGAAGTCAGTCATTCACAAGTTTCTCTACGTCCTCCACACACATTGCTGGTCGGTCTCGTTGGCGACGCTGATTGACCTCCTTGTGGGTCTGCGAGGGTCGACCTTCTCGTCTGCGCTGCCTAGGCTGTGTGTTGGTAGACTGCGCTTGCGAAAGATTCTCCGTAGCTTGTCGACGAGAACCGTCTCTTCGAGAGTGAGCAGCGGAGCGCCTTTCCTCGTGGTCCTCATTGTGAGGATTATCCGGTTGACCACCCTGGGGACCTAGCCTCTCGTGAATGTTCCTCTGCGAGTGGACAGCTGAGCGTCTTTCTTCACGATCCTCATTGCGATGGTTGTCTGGCTGACGTCCTTTGGGGCCTAGCCTTTGAAGTACATTTCTTTGCGAGCCCAAGCGGGCGTGGATGTCAAGTCGTGGGCCTAGCACCTCTCGCATGTTGTTCCTTAAACTTAATCTGCTCTGAGTGGGGCTCGCAGATGCTTGTGACATGTTGGCAGGCCGATCAAGCTGTTGTCCTTCGCCTTGTCTGCCCACTCCTGCTCCACTTGCTGGGTACCCGTTGAGCTGCCAGCCAGTGTGTTCGTCCATCCTTCTTTCTTCGCCCAGTTGTCCCAGGCCAAGGTTTTGAGCCAAGCTGATTTGGTGGAGGAGTTGCCTCATCAGATCGCTTTGGTCGTCCATTCTCGGAGCTAGCTGGTCAACTCTCAGACTAATGTCTGCTTGACTTCGTGGATCGGGAGGGGAGAAGTGTGTGGAGCCCAATTGCACACAGGCTAGGGTTTCATTGGAGGTGTGCGTGGGAGCGTGTGTCGAGCGTGGAGGCAATGGAGGGAACGCTTGAAGTTGCTCCAAGACCGAGCCTAGGTCGGTGGTGGTAACAAGCCCACCTTTATGGGATGTTCCTCCATGTTCGGTGGCGATGGCCGGTGCGGTGGTGAGAGGTGGTGGTGCCACCATGTCGATTGCGGGATCTTGGGCGAAGTGGCTTTGGGCCGTCGCGGATTTAGCCATCGCGGCGGTTTTGCCTCTCGTCTTCATGCTTCCAACAATGATTGTTTGGAAGGTTTCGGTGGATTGGAAAATAGGAGGAACGGATTCCTTGAGCACGCGTTGAGTATAACTCGTGCTCTCAATGAAAGCACCAATTTGAGTGTACAAATTTCCTCACGAGAATATTCGATTAGAAAGATTCCCCTTTCTTCTTCGCCACCTCATTCTCCCTGCAAAATAGAACCAATAAGAGGACCACACCCGGGGGGTGTTGGCCAAAAGCCCTACGATGCCTAAATTAGTTCAATTGAATCGTATAGAAAACAATAGCTAATAGGGTACAGAGATGTGTTTATGGTGTAAACCGGACGGCCGAAGCCTTATGTAAAAAAGAGAGAGAAAGGAGGTGGCTAGGGTTTGAGAGGAATTTTCTGTAGAGTTTCAGTAGGGATTTCAGACGTACCTTAACCCTTGTGTATGGCTATGCTTTTATAGTGGTCTCAGAGGCTAGGGTTTCAGAGTAATAATTCCGTAGATGGAAGGGAATTATTCCTCCCCTTTTTGGAATTGATTTTATTAATTAGGGATTTGATTTATTAGGGTAAATCAAATCCCTAATTGTGGTAGTTATTAAATCAAATCATAATTCCATTAGGTAACTCCTCATTTAATTGGGATTCGTGGCAGGAGTATGTTCAGAAGTCTTCATCCAGTAGTGCCCCAAAAAATTGTAACTTAGAAACACCAAATCAGTAGTGACCCAAATCATAATTCTGTTGGTGTTTCTATGGTAACTTAGAAACACCAAAAAATTGTTCATCAGGAAATGAATATTTTATAGGCAAATATTCAGAAGTCTCCTCAAAAGATATCCTAGAAAAATTATCTGCAACAACATTCTCCACTCATTTCTTGTCCTTGATTGTAAGATCAAATTCTTGGAGAAGCAAAATCCATCTAATCAATCGTGATTTGGCAGATTAAATGAGGAGTTACCTAATCAAATCATAATCGTCAATAAATACTTCAAGGCCGAATGATGTGTAAAAACAACAATTTGTGAGCCCAAAATGTATGACCTAAACTTTTCCAGTGCAAAAACTGCAGCAAGCCATTCTTTTTCAGTTGTAGTGTAATTTTTCTATGCACTATTCAAAGTTCTGCTTGTGCAGCAAATAACAACAGGCTTCTTGTCTTTTTTTGGCCTAGCACTACCAACAATAGCACCATCACTAGCATCACACATTATGTCAAATGGCATAGACCAATCTGGGGGCTGCATTACGGGAGTTGATGTTAGCATTTCAATCAATTTCTCAAATCCTTCTTGACATGCATAATTCCAATCAAATTTAGCATCTTTTTCCGAGAGATTATTCAATGGCCTTGAAATTGCACTAAAAATTTGTATGAATCTCTGGTAGAAACCTGCATGTCCTCAAAAAGATCTAATTTCTTTAATAGTTTTAGGAATAGGCAAATTAGAAATTAAATCAATTTTTGACTTATCCACTTCAATTTCTTTGTGAGAAACAATGTGTCCAAGTACGATGCTAGATGTAACTATGAATTGGCATTTCACCCAGTTAAGCACCAAAATTTTCACTTTACATTTGATAAGAACATTCTCTAACTTAGATAAACAATTAGAAAATGAATCACCAGACCCAATAATATCATCCATGAAAACTTCTAAATATTTTTCTACCATGTCACTAAATATGCTTATCATGCAACGTTGGAATGTGGCTGGTGCATTGCAAAGACCAAAAGGCATTTTTCTAAAAGCGAAAGTTCCAAATGGGCAAGTAAAAGTTGTTTTTTCTTGATCTTCTAATGAAATCTCAATTTGATAATATCCTGAATAACCACCTAAAAAACAATAATACATATGCCCTGCAACTCTTTCCAAAATTTGGTCAAGAAATGGTAAAAGAAAATGATCCTTTCCTGTGACTGAATTCAATTTACGATAATCAATACACATTCTCCATCCAGTAGTGACCCTAGTTGGTAACATCTCTCCATTATCATTTTCAACTACTGTGACTCCTGATTGTTTTGGAACAACCTGTGTAAGACTCACCCATTTGCTAGCAGAAATCGGATATATGATACCTGCATCCCAAAGTTTAAGTACTTCTTTTTGCACAACTTCTTTCATTGTTGGGTTAAGTCTATGTTGAGCCTGCCTAATTGGTTTAGTATCTTCTTCAAGAAAAATTTGGTTTTTTCAAACCAAAGGACTAATACTTTTAATATAAGATATAAAGTCCATCCAATAGCAGTCCTATGATCTTTTGAAACTTTAAGTAACATACCTTCATGCAAAAGCTCTAGTTTAGAAGATATTACCATAGGATAGGTCTCATCTTCTCCCAGAAAAGCATATTTAAGTCCAGCAGAAAAAGGCTTCAATTCACACTTTAGGGCTTTTTCTCTTGATGATTTTGTCTCATCCCTCAAAATTGGAAGCTCCTCATATTTTGGTATCCAACCATTATGTTCTTGTACCTGCGCAGAATCCAACAAAGAAAAAAGATATTGTATTTCAAAATCTTGTGCAAAATTACAATCCCTATTTACTAAAAAAAATTGCAATGGATCAGAAGAAAAAGAAGAATTAAAGCAATTTTGAACAATTGTCTTGATCATGTAAACTTCTTTGTCGACATCTTCATTGTTTGCGGGTTGCTTGCATATGTTGAATATGTTGAGCTCCAATGTCATGTTCCCAAATGATAGTTGCATAAGTCCATTCCTGCAATTTATATGAGCATTAGATGTAGCAAGAAATGGTCTTCCAAGAATAACATAAATTTGAGAATTAGAATGTACAACTAGTTCAGTATCCAAAACTATAAAATCAACTAGAAAATAAAATTTGTCTACCTAAACCAACACATCTTCCACCATACCTCTTGGGATTTTGACTAAACGGTCAGCCAATTGCAATGTTATTGAGGTGGGTTTTAATTCACCAAGACCCAAGTGCTTATCAACCAAGCAAGGCAACAAATTAACACTAGCACCCAAATCCAATAAAGCTTGTTCAATGCTAAAATTCCCAAAAATAAAAACAGAAATGAAAAATTGAGTTTGATATGCCTTACCGAATTAGCTTTGGAAACTAAAACCGCAAACCTTAACAATATATTTTCTTGTGCTACTTTTTGCTTCACTGCTCCCCGGCAACGGTGCCAAAAACCTGTTGCATCTACCTGTAACACCCCGACTCTATTTAATTTCCAATGCAAATGGTAAAACTAAATTAAATGTGAAATTACGAAACTACCCTCGGGGTAGGGTAGTTCGGTCATTTTCTTGTCCGGAATGATTGTGGGACCACAAGTGGTTTGGTTGCGTAGGTGGTTCTGAGATGAATTCGTAGACAAGCGGTAGGCTTGAATCGGAGTTATAACGAATTGTTAGCGATGAAATTTCTTTCGGTGGCAAAATCGTCAATAATTCAAAAAGGGTATTTGTAAAAAATCAGATTTTCAATTTCATTTCACTCTTTTCTCTCTCTCTCCTGTGTGTTCTCTCCCTCTCTCCCCACGCAGCCTCTCTTTTCTTTGTGCGTTATTCGGGTTCGATATGTTCCGACCGTTGGATCGTTTTCAAAATGAAGTATGTCCCTCTAGATACCCTTAGGATCGTGTAGGATTCGACGGATCGTAAAACGGAATCCCGGATACTCCGAAAATGCTAACCCTAGGGTGAGCGTTTCAGTAACCGTCCAATTGTGCGATCGTGAGCGGTCTAACCGTCCGTTTCGGAC